GTTTGAATATAAGGTAATTTCTATTTGTCTCTGTGTATATACACGGGTATGTTCTAACAAATAATATTCTTTGCAAAATTTAAGTATAATTCCAAGCCGTTTCTAATCCTAAAAAGCTAATCTTACCCTAACCTTAAACTGGGTTAGTCTTTTTTCTTATAATTTATATACCATGCGAATTTGTAAATATGCATAAACACCATGTGTAAACTAACAAATTTTTCTTGAAATAATGTTCTAGTAACCAGTTTTTTGTTTATTGTTTTTTTTTGGCAGGTAATTTACCTCGTTGAAACCATAAATAGAGGCAGAAACCGTTGACTTGGTACAAACCCACGTCTACTACAGATTACCAAGGAGAACAGAGTCCCAAGCCATCTAATATATCAGGGTATTCTTTTTTTGACAAAGTGGTGATTAATGCGCAATGTCAAAAGAATGAAAGATTGAAAAAATAAGTTGTCATTAACTCCCGAAAAGAAGCGAGAAAGCAAAGGTTAACTGACAAAGGAAAAGAATGATTTGAGATATTCTTTAAAGGTTACCAAAATAAAGAGAGAGACAACATCAAAGTCAAATTCAATCGTATTCTAAACACCATTCAATGTTGTCTCCAACATGGACAACACCTACCTCTGCTAATTTTGTGGAGATAATCACTTTGTAGATGATTATCTGGAAATTCTTGGAAAAGGTCATATAGATACCAAGATACGATAGAAACTCATTTGCGTCTAGAGTCTGGAATTCCAAAAAATGCGCGCTTAGATCTATTATAAACTATGGCATTGCAAGTAAACTAATAGTAGCAAATCCGGTGAGTAATCAAGATGATATTAGGAATATTGTCATGGCGATAACCAACACACTGATAATCATAGTGCAATGTTGCAACGCATGTAATCGGGTAAACTAATACCTGATTGATAATCTAATAATAAATTTCGCAATAAAGAAAATACAAGCTCTGGCCATTCAAATAAGTTTGTCTTATAGTCTCAAGTGCTGGTAGCAAAGGTCAAGGCATTTGGCGATCGAAGCAGAGCTATATAAAGATGTCATTCAATGTTGTGTGTTCATGAATGAACCAGAAAGTGTCTACGAATTAAGCTAGATTCGCAGTAAGGAGCCACTATTGCTAACTAACCTAACAAATATCGGTGTTTTAATAGATCCAAAATTCTACACAATCGTCATTTTGGAAAAAAGGATTTGAGAGGTAAAAACATGCTATGAATATGCCGATTTTTTCAGTTCAAACTCCATAAATAGGGACTTCGATCAGGATCTACCTTTAAGTCCATAATACTTACTTTATCCGCAATCTCAAATATAATATAGAAGTCTTCTTAAGTATTAATCACAATTAGGATAAACGACAAGCAGGAACACATTTTCTAAATTTGAACTTGGCTTTAAACTTTGTAGGTCTCAAAGTATTCAACTCAAGACCGCTTTAGAAAGCTTTTCACCAACAATAAGTATGAAACAGGAATTTAAGAAATTTGCAAAGAATATTATTTGTTAGAACATACCCGTGTATATACACAGAGACAAATAGAAATTACCTTATATTCAAAC